AGGCAGCACTGGGCAGACGGCGTGTGCCTGACATGCTGCAGTCTCCATACCACACTCAGCTTGGCTGAGGCACAATGTCCCTGACCTGCAGCATCCCACCACCTGCTGTCACAGCCCTGAGTCATACCTAAAAAAAATCACCTACTCACACATTTTTTTTTTAAAGAAAACAACAAGAAAAACAAAATCTGGCCAAAACCTTTCTCTCCAATATGGATATATTCCACCCTGCCTCCCCACAGAGACCCACACCAAAGATTGCACAGCACATTACACAACACATCACAGAAATGCTTCTTCAGCATCCCCGCCTTTACTCTTCACAAAGAAGCTGGGCTACTTCTCTCCATCTCCCCAGTCCCTCTGCTTTCTAATCAGATGTTGTTTCACCTCTCTCCACCACCTACACCTCCACAACCACCCTCTCTCCTTGAAAGAAGGTTTAAAGGCAACAGCTGACAGGATCCCTCTGTGATGCACAAGGAAAAGGACACATCTGTCTTCAGGCAGAACATGGAGAGCCTTTTGGAGAGGGGAAACAACCCTCTCTGCTGCCTTTGTTTATTTTCTGTATCCAAATGTGTAACAGGAAATTAAGCAGTTCACCTTTGTTAAAGCACTTTTGCGTCCCACAAATGCAGGAGCCAGATGGTGTTCTTTCTTTGTTTTAAAAGATTAAAAATGTGAAAGAAAGGAAATGGCTAGAAGCTAATCCTCAGCCTGGAACACACTCACATATCCACATGCCCAGTTATCTGTGCTCATGGGGCCTGGGCAGGAGCAAACATGGGGACCCAGCAGACTGAAGTGAGTCAACCTGTAGAGAGGTCCAGAGCTGTCAGTGTGTCAGCTTTGAGGTGGAATCCTTCACTGTGTTCCCAGAAAATGACAAATTACAGTATTCTCCCTAGACCACAGCTTGGACACACCAAGCAATATTTTCTAGAAAGCACCTGAAGCAGAACTTTGCTCCAGGTCCTACTGTTGGGAATGGCAGGCTGTTGACAAGAGAGAGCTGCTGTGCACAAACACTGAGAATCAGACTTGGGTATTTCACCAGACAGGATGTGGTTGTGACCAGGGACAGCACCAAAGAGTTTCAAAGTTCAACTCTTCAACCACATCTCCACCTTCCATAGGTGAGACCCAGGAGCAGTTTAGTTCTCAGACTTGAGCTCATTTGCTCTCTGTATCCATTAAAAAACCCTCACTTGGGGTACATTGGTGGATTTTACAATAGGTCTGTGAACTCAAAAGGATTGTCTCAGGAGACTTGAAGAGCTAGTTTTCATGCGAGGGATGTTAGGAACTAAAATTGTGAGGAATTGTGCACAGATGCACAACTGTTGTGAAGCCACATTGTTTTTCTCACCTACATTTGCAGGAGAAAGGGAATGCTGCTTCTTACCAAAGTCAAGTCTAATACAGTCAATTCACGTGAGCCCCATGTGGCTCTATTATTTTCACAACCAGGTTTCTGTTCAAAGGGTTGACTATTCTTGTTCATAGGGAACTTAGAAGTGCAGATTACCACTCAGAAACCAAATAGATTTCCAAATCTAGAGACAGCAAGGCTCACACCTGTTTTTGCAGAGAATGAATGCAGCGGTGCTGTGCAAAGGCAGAGGGACAGGAGAGGACAGGTATGAGATAGTGGTGATGGGGAAGGACTGAGACTGTCACATAACCGTGAGTTGAACAGAAGGGTGAATAATGTGATCAGCTCCATCTGCTCTCCAGGTAAACATGTCCCACAAGGCAGTGATTAGAGAAAGAGATTGAGAAATGAGTCTATCTGGCTTCTTCTCATATGTTGGGATGAGTGTGGCTGGGCTGTAGCTGGAGGAGGGATGAGAAACACTTGGCTCTTGGACTTCTGCTCTTTGCTGGGGGCAATATATGGCCTGGATGGACTTCCCACCTTTGTCACTGAATCCTGCTTTGGCTCTGGGCAAGTCACATAGACCCTCTGCCCCTCACATCACCAGTGTAAATGTGGGCAATCAGAACCTTATTTTGCTAGGACCCCTCTTTGGACAGTAACAGAGAAAAGGTCTCCATACGTGCAGAGCATGGACTTACTGATCAAGAGTTTTAAAAGTACCAAAAGTCAGTGACAACAGAGAAAGGAAAATCAACTAAGAACAAAAGGCTGTGCTGGTCCAAAGCTCAGCTCTTGCTCTGGGAAACAGGTGATAACTAGTTATTGCTTTGGTCATGCATGGCAATCTGTGTTAGCAGAGAAAAGTCCACTAAAAAGCCTTATGACACTGCAAGAGGTAGCATGGAGCAATCCTCAGCAAAGCATTTTGCACAGACAGGATGAGGTCTACAGGACACCATCACAAAGAAGACAAAAAAACCCACAACAGTCAACTGGCCTATGGAAATGTTTTCAGTTCTCACTTTTTTGGGGGCCCTCCCAGCCTTCACATGGCAACTGCAGCAAATTCTCCCATTGCAGAGAGAGGTCTTGGTGCTGCAGAAACAGAAGCTTAGCTGGGATTTTCTCAAGCAATGTGACACTGTCTGTGGTTGAGGTAGGTCTGACATGGCTGAAGGAAAGGAACCAGGCAAGAACATGGGGATCACACAGGCTGCTTCTTATCTTCCCTTGGGCTCTTCTCTTCCCCACTCACTGCTTCCTGAATTTTCTGCAGTGATGGGACCATAGTCACCTCTCTTCCTTTGTCACTGCCCAGTAACTGCACCAAGAACTTTTCCCAACATGGAGTTTTGTGCTGCACAGTGAATATTGGTTCCCTCACTGGTAATTAAACGTAGTGCTAAGCCAGTGTCCTGGGCTGGGAGAGGTGAGAGCAAAAGTCTGATCACATTTTTCCTCCTCCCCAACACAGTAACTCCACTTGGCAGCTGCCTATCTCATAAAGAAAACCTTCTGAATCAGATCAAGACCATAGGTCAACCCTTCACAGGTAGCTGATCGAAATCATCCTCAAAGCCAAACATCCAATGTTGTAACCAGAAATAAACCAGCCTTACTCCAAACATTAGGCTAGAAATCACTGCTCCTTAGCCTGAAGAGCCCTTCCCTGCTGGTGGATGTCCCAGCAACAAATACCCACTCCAGTGTGCTTCAAACTCTGCACATCACAGCTTCTCCTGTAGCTGAGGAAGGGTGAGAAACAAGCTGTCCCACCTGGGAGGCTGCCATCCCAGGCAGATAGGGTAGTACAGACAGGTACAGAGGGAGTGTTCAAGACAAGAGAACAGTGCAAGCACAAGTCACAGAAGAAAAGGCTGGAAAACTCATTGAGTCCATCCCCAGAGACAAGTGCAGGATTAGCCTCTGCACTAAACCCAGGCATTTTTATCTAGTTGCTTCCTGAACTTCTTTAATAACAGGCCCTCAGCTACCTACGTCTGGCAAATTACTCCATTGTCTAAATGATGACCCTGCTGGAAAAAAATGTTTTGAGGTCGAACCGAAATTGCCTATTATTTCCTCTTCCATATTTTATGCACTTATCAGTCAGTCTTTCAGTTGCCTTTTCACTAAGTCCCTGTATTAAGTTTCTTTAATCTAACACCAGAGGTCACAGCCTGCAGTCTTAGTCATCTCTTTGGATTACCTTTATCAGCGTCTTCAAAAAAGAGGGAGAAAAAATAGGAAGGAAGTAAGAACAGGATGACTTCAGAGCCATCCTAAAGCATGTGACTGTGTTCTGGGGTATCACAGAGAGGTTTGTGTGTAGGCATCTGCATGGATGTCTGAACTACAAGCGTGTCCAGGACTGAAAAGGAATGAGGACAGTGGTTCAGGGATGCCTGATCGACATCTGTGTGCATGTTTCAGTGAGCAAATAACCAAGTGAGTGAGCCCAAGAGCTCCAAAAACTGATTTACTGTAACATTTCCTAGTCTCCCTTTGCTCTGAGCATCTGCCGCTGGAGCTGCCTTACCCTGTAGTAATCAGTGCTGTAGACATCTCTTGACATCCCAAAGTCTCCAATCTTCACCAGCAGGTTGGCTCCGACCAAGCAGTTCCTGGTGGCCAGGTCTCTATGGACAAAGTGCTGGGAGGCAAGGTACACCATTCCAGAGGCGATCTGGCTAGCGATGTGGAGCATCTGGGATAGCCCTAGCTCCCCTTTGGCTTGTCGAGGCTGCCCATCCACGAGGATCATAGCATCTGGGCCATGTGCCCTATAAGGAGGAAGAAGCAAAAAGCATAGAGTTGGGTCTCAAAAGTGACCAGGAGATAGGAATCCCACACGGTCGCTCTTCCTGTTGGGGTGGCAACTAGCCCTCAACTCTGCACTGTGAGGACGTACACACAGCTGCAGTGGGAAGAAAAAAATAAAAGCTTATAAGAAAAGGAGACTGGGGGAACATTTGGTAGGTGAGTAGGTGTCATACATCCTTCTATGATCCTTGCTCTTCTGCAAGCAACCTCTTATGGCCACAGATGGAGAGAGACTGCCAGGACAGAAGGACCATTGACTTGATGCAACATGGACATTCTTCTCTGGCAAGACCTATGCAAAACTAATGAGCCTCCAGATATTTTCATGTTTGCTCCAGTTAATTTTTACACCTTGGAAACGTTCCCAGTGGTAAAGATAACACTCCCTTTTCTTCCACAGCCACCATTTACTTGGTTCCTAGTTTCTTTATTAATCCCAAACAGCTGCCTCTATTTCTTCCAAACACCATATCACCAAACAACCATCCCTGATCAATGCCAATACAGACAGAGATCACTGAAAAAGTTTCAGCAGAACACCAGCAGCTTCATTCCTGGAAAATGCCTTTTATACCCTGAGCTATCCCAGAGGTAACACAGGTACCATGAACTGTGAAGGCAGGAGCAGAGGCGCAAAGGTTGGACCTGGATGTCAGCAGATGCAATGAACATCCTGGGCAACAAAAGGAAATATTTTGCTGAACCAAGCGCATTGTAAATGCAGAACTTAAGGTCAGTCTCATTCCTGTCCTGTCTCCTTTTTAGTCCCCTCCCTCGCTGTGTACCAAGCCTGTCTTTGCTGTGGTCCCTCTGTGATGTCTCTTCCTCTGGTACAGCTCACCCTGTGGTAGCCTGTGTGAAGGTGGAACAACAAAAGCCTTCATATTTAGGGAAAAACAAGAGATTTTGCTGTGACCTTCCTCCTTGTGACTAAGATACTGTACAGCCTTTCCTCTGAGGACTTCATACTGTTCTCTTTGAATCAATTCTTGGCATTTCACCCCTGTCATCAGCAGTAATCCCACAGAGAGCTAGCAAATTGAAATTGCACATACAGAGCTTTCCCTCCTTCTTGACATGGGACTGAACAACCCACAACAACATCCAAACTGTTTCTCTCCTTTGTTTCTGTTCCTTAATTGCTCTGTTGGCTTGAGGGTGCACCAAGGGATTAGCATCCAGGTATTTGGGGATCAACTGATAGTTTTTCAAATGCCCTTGTCTTCAGTTACCTCCTGCTGCCCTACCGCTGGACATGTGGCTCTGAAGGTCCACTCCTGGTAGAGGGGACAGCTAGAAGAGGAGAGGAACTCCAGAAAATGAGCACTGATAAGCCAGAAGTGGTTTTGGGGAGCCATGAGTGGGTGATGCTGCAGTGAATGTGGGATGAGCTGGCTGGGAGCAGCACTGCAGGCAGCAGGGCTGGGGCTGCTGGAGGCATCTGAGAGGCTCATGGGCATGGTGGGACCAGCAGCACACTGGAAGAACTGCTGAGGGCAAGGAGAAACTGCAGAAGAGCATTTGCAGAAATGACTGCTTGATGTCTTATTTAAACACCCACAGATGGGTTTACCCCAGGAAATTACCTGGTGCTGACAACAGATGTCGACAGCAGGTGAAGCTGAACCAGAACTGAGCAGGTTAGCTAAAAACAGCAAAACAGGACAAACAATAGCTTCTAAAACTGTGCTGGACAGTTTGTGCCACTCACACCTTGCAGTTACACCATATTTAGCTGCAGCTGATACCTGTTGTCATCAAAGGTAAACATTCCTAGGTGAGAAGTGAAGGATATATTACTATCTCATTAGTGACACGTTTTTCAAATACAATAATGACCCCTAAAGAAATGTTTGTGTCTGAAGGGGAACAGATGATGTTTAAAAAATGGTCAGCCAACACTTTTATTTGACTGGCTCTTTATACATCCTACTATATAGGACATATCTTGGTATGTTCTATATAATACATACACCTCCCTCCTTTCCTTTCTCCATCCCACATGGTTATAGTCCATGTCCTGGTTTGTGCTAGGATTGCTTTCTTCTTTCCAGAAGAAAGAAGGAACAACACATTTATGAGACTAACAGGAGGGAGTTGTGTCAAGAAGCCTGCAGGGAATAAGAGAGGTATCTGCCCATCTCTTCTTGGAGAAATGAGTTTAACTCAGCTTCACAGAAAGGCCATAAGATTGTGTGGATCTTCTGTTAAAGAACTGTTGGATTTTTTTCTATTATGGAGTGATGAAGGCTTTTGCCAGCATTGGGAAGAAAATCACCCCTCTGGCTTCCTCTGCTGAAATGCCTCTTTCTGTCCCAAGATGATCTGACTGTGGAAGGACTGACATAAAAACATCAGAATTATGTAACTTTTCAAACAAAATCTATTGCCTTTCTGAGTTAACAGCAAATGGCAACAACTTGCTATAGACTGCAAAGAGGGTCTGTAATGGCAATGTGCAAATATCCCTCCTTCAAATTTGCTGCTACCACAGACAGAAAACAAAAGCTAGAAAACCAGTATCAGAAGGAAAGGGAAGAAGTGATGGAGATACTCGGTGAGCAGAGAGGAGAGATGGTTGCTGCAGACAACCCGAGCAGTGGGTCTGTGTGCCGGGGAGTGTCCAGCCTTGTCACGCACACAACCCATGGACAGTCTCGAGCCCTAGGGACACCGTGCTCGCTGGAGAGCAATGCCCGTTTGTCTCCCTGGCAGAATCTTTTCACTATCCCTTTTCTATTAGCTAAGACACCACCATTGCAGTCTCCCCTTGGGTAAGCTGTTGCACCACTAGCAATGGTCTTCCATGCAGGGGCCCTGGGAAGCATGTAGAGCCATCCCAATACATGCCACCTCTAGCCCAGCTGGGAAGTGTTGGCCCTAGTGCCTCTCCTTCCCATACCAGTTAATTTTACAGACCAGTAGAATTCTCTTTTTTCTCTGGGAAGAACACAAAGGCCTAACAACACTTAGGGGAATTTATTTATTGTGCTTTTCTCTTGGAAACTTGGTCTAAAGTGAGCCTCTTCCATTTTACTGCTTTTCCAATTTCTGCAGTTAAACTGAGAGAAGTCCATCTGACTGTCTCTTATAGACTCCAAGTGTCCCTGGCCTCCAGTGCCTGGGAGCAACCATCTCCTGTTCTGGGCTGGGTAAATCATGTCACAATAAAAAATGATACTCACCAGGGATGTCCGGCACTCCTACTCCACCGACCTTCTCTGATCCCCTTGCAGTTCCTGTCCCCCAGAGTTTCTCACCAGCAGAAAGCTGGCCTGACAAAGAAAGC